CTCGTTGAGCACACGTACGACGAATGCGACACCGCGACGTGCGAATGTTATCCGAGCTGCAAGATGTACAACATGCTACTGCTGAGAGACACCTATGACGATCTTCTCCGACAATTCATTCTGGGCATAGCCGTAGCGAATTACAAGGCGATCAATCCCAACATCGTTCGCTATCAAATCGTCCGGGATGCCACACTGGCGGCAGATCAGATTTTCTTGCGTATGGAATATGGACACGATGGCCTTTATTATTTCCCCAGACTAGTCCAAAAGATATTGCATCAGACCGGAATCGATGCGACTCCTGCGGTATGCTGGAGTTTGGCAGGCGGAATACTATCTCTCGGATGCACAATGATACTGCTCAGCTATAGAGCGTCTTCCAAAAAGAGAGAGGGGAGGATTTGGACCGACGCTAGTGTTTCTCCTTCGTCGCTGATCGCCGACGACGGAGAGGTTGACGTTAAAAAAGACCGCTAGATACAATATTCGCCTCCATCTCACGACGAACCGGCTTCGACACACGTGATGGTGATGATGATGAAGATTGTTGATGATGGAGGTTCTTCTGAGACTTGCGGGTATGTGCAGGATGACGACATGCCATGCACGCAAGCAAGCAAGCAAGCAAGTGAGCAAGTAGCAGCAGCAGCAGCAGCAGCAGCAACAGCGATGATGATGAAATTGAATGTGTAATTAACGCATCGACCCTGTCGTATGAACTTGTCTCATATCAACCCTATCGTATAGACTTGTCTTGTGTTTATACTCTTTACTGTATATCGTATCATTAGGTGAATAAAGATCTCATATTGCAACTATACTTTTATTACCATTTCCAGATATACAAATGTACAATACACAAGATGCGAATGGAACGTGGTTGTATAGAAAGACCTTTTAAGAATAGGTCGGTAGATGTTTAATCTGTCCATCAAAAAGAAATTACAATCGCAGGGTGCTGAACCTCACACACATGTGACCGTATGATAACGCAATACACACACACATACGTAACATGTACGGTTGTAAAGAATGATCGATAATAAGACTAAGAGTAAAAGTCAGAGTATCAATTTTTGTTCTACAGAGTGAGGATATTGTTTATTCGACTGACGGTAAAAAAAATAAACTACTATTTCCTTAGACTCCATCGTGTATACGTATAGGGTATTATATCGTCCATCGTAATAATAGTAGTAGTAGTAGTTGTAGGAGGTCTTGTGGTAGTAACAGTAGTAATAGTAGTAGTTGTAGGAGTGGTGGCGGTGACGATTTCGTGAAAATCATCACTGTCAAGACTATGGGAGGGTACATCTTCGTCGTTGTCTATTCTGCCTGCTGTTGATGCTAGTGCTGTATCGAAACGGACTAACGGTACGTAGAGAAAAATAAGAACAAATACAAAAGACGGGGGGATGATTGTTAATAGGCAGAAAGTATCGTGTTACATCGTGGTTTTTATGCGGAACGTAGTCGGGAGGAAGCTAGGGACGAGAGTGATAGGGGACGGCACGGGAAAAAAGAGAAGAAGGGATGGGGGGGTTGTTGAGAGAGGAATACCAATAATGCCGACGACGACGGCGCAGAAACACCACCATGTACGGTCGACGATAACATTATCCCTCTTTCGACGACAGCAGTTGATCCGTTCATACAGCACTAGCACCAAAACAGGAAGAATAGGACAACGACGAAGATGGTACCCTCCCCTAGTCTTGACAGTGATGATTTTCACGAAATCGTCACCCGCCACCACTCCTACAACTACTACTATTACTACTGTTACTACCACAAGACCTCCTACAACTACTACTACTACTATTATTACGATGGACGATATAATACCCTATACGTATACACGATGGAGTCTAAGGAAATAGTAGTTTATTTTTTTTTACCGTCAGTCGAATAAACAATATCCTCACTCTGTAGAACAAAAATTGATACTCTGACTTTTACTCTTAGTCTTATTATCGATCATTTTTACAACCGTACATGTTACGTATGTGTGTGTGTGTATTGCGTTATCATACGGTCACATGTGTGTGAGGTTCAGCACCCTGCGATTGTAATTTCTTTTTGATGGACAGATTAAACATCTACCGACCTATTCTTAAAAGGTCTTTCTATACAACCACGTTCCATTCGCATCTTGTGTATTGTACATTTGTATATCTGGAAATGGTAATAAAAGTATAGTTGCAATATGAGATCTTTATTCACCTAATGATTACGATATACAGTAAAGAGTATAAACACAAGACAAGTCATATACGATAGGGTTGATATGAGAAATTCATACGACAGGGTCGATTGAGTTAATTTACACATTCATTTCATCATCAGCGCGCGGGGCCGATGTTGCTGCTGCTGACTGACTGTGCTGCTACTGCTCACTTGCTTGCTTGCTTCGCTGCTCCGTGCATGGCAGTCGTTCCTGCACATACCCGCAAAGTCTCAGAAGAACTCATCATCAACAATTTCATATCATCATCACCATCACGTGTGGCGAAGCCGGTTCGTCGTGTAGATGGAGGCGAATATTGTATCTAGCGGTCTTTTTAACGTCAACTCTCCGTCGTCGGCAATCAGCGACGGAGGAGAAACACTAACATCGCTCCAAATCCTCCCCTCTCTCTTTTTGGTAGACGCTTTATAGCTGAGCAATATCATTATGCATCCGAGAGATAGTATTCCGCATGCCAAACTCCAGCATACCGCAGGAGTCACATCGATTCCGGTCTGATACATTATCTTTTGAATTAGTCTGGGAAAATAATACAGGCCATCATGTCCATATTCCATACGCAAGAAAATCTGATCTGCCGCCAGTGTAGTATCCCGGACGATTTGATAGCGAACGATGTTGGGATTTATCGCCTTGTAATTCACTACGGCTAGGCCCAAAATAAGTTGTCGGAGAAGATCATCATACATGTCTCTCAGCAGTAGCATATTGTACATGTTGCAGCTCGGATAACATTCGCACGTCGCGTTGTCACATTCGTTGTATATATCCTTAACGAGAGTGTTATTAAACCTCACGTGGTCGCAGGCGTCATGACACTCTGAGTAGCGGTAGGCTGCACTCGTAAGAGAGCATATCCAATATATACCGAGTGATACTTTCAAAGCCGTGCCGTATATCTTTCTAGACATGGTTTTCTGTGCCCTTTTTCTTTCCTTCCTAATTCTCGCATTCGATAGGACTACACATACACGCGCGCGCGAGCGTGTGTGTGTGCAGAGTCAGTGTCGATCCGACGTGTAAACCCCGTCTGTCATATTTGACATTTTAGCCACCGACGCCCCTAGAGCGGCAAACATCTTTTCTACGATTTCTATATAAAAGAATCCAGGTCGAAATATTAAACGTCTTCCATCGATGTTACTGAAATCGTTATTCGTCATTTCATCATAT